CCCGGCGTGAGTTTTAAGCCACCGGGTCCGGGACGCGAACCGCGGTCGACTATGTGGGAGTCCAGGGACATAGCCATTACGCTAACTGCTGGTACCCGATGACCTGATTTTTTTTTTAAGTTTTTTTTTTTTTTAAGAATTATTTTATTCAGCTTTATTTATTTAATTTTGATGGGAGAGTGACAGAGTGAGAGAGAGAGAAGAGAGACGGAAGTAAGAAAGCAAGCCACCAGGTCTGAGACTGAAACCGTTGTTGGCCATGTGGGTGTCCAGCACACTTACCCACCATGCCACCTTCCAGCCCCTATGACCTGATTTTTACATCATAGTAAAACAGGCCTATTGACGAGGGGACATGGATTTTTCTGTTGAACAGCCATTATGTATACTCGGTCCAAAGCTTCTGACATATGGCACTATTTCTATGTATTATTGCCACTCCAGTATTGTTCTGTGGCCCGCTAGTCCCCGTATCCACACATTCATCTATCACACAATTCATAAATGGATCAAGTCCCTGTACTATTTCTTGGACATGTCTGCCACCATTTAATTTTAAATGATAACTTCTTGTCCATAAATTTTTTTCAGTTCAGGAGGGTGAGCTTTGCTCATGATGACCTACTCAGCTGGCTCGGAGATTCCTTTCGTGGAATATATTTCAAACAGATCCTTTTGAGATGTATGTACAGGAGCTAGCCGGTGGTATAGTGGTTAAGGCACGGGACTCCCGCATGGGGCGCTGTGGTTCAATCCCATACTTGGTGGCTAAAATTCACACTGGAAAAAATGTTCATGCGTGTGTGCCCAAAATTGGGAGAGGAGAATGGAAGAGACGAGACTGTGGCATGGTCACCCCCTGGGTGTGGTTCCTCACTTTCTGTCAGTCTTTGTTTCTCTGGCAAGCACATGTGCCTTCTAGCAAAAAGTCTCTCTCAAAAAGAGATAGATGTACTATTGAAAATTGCTTTTAAAAGTAAAATGTGGGTCAGTTCTATTTCCTAGCACTTATTTATTTAATTTTACTTTTTATTATTATTAAAAACTTGACCAGAGAGAGTAAATACAAGAGTGAGAGTGAAAGCGAGAGAACAAGGCTCCAGGTTTGGGACTCAGACTGTGGCTGGCCGTCCGGGAGTCCACTGTTTAACGGCCACGCCCCCTGCCAGCCCTTCTTAGTGCTGACTTTTTGACCAGAGAGGGAGGGAAAGACAGAGAGGGAAAGTGAAAGGAAGCTGCCAGGTCTGGGACTTGAACCGTGATTGGCCCCGTGGGAGTTCATTGCCCTTAACCACCATGCCATCTGCCGGCCCCCGTTTTTTTTTTCCCCTAGTGCTTTTTTTATACTTATTTTTTTATTTTATGTTCTTTCACTGAACATCATCATAGCACACAAAATGCAATTTCCCATCTAGAATATACTGTATAGTGGCTAGTGCTTTGAAGAGAGCCAGGCCCCAGGACCAGTAGATGGCATAATGAGTATGTCGCTGGACTCGCACGTAGTCGACCGCAGTTCTAGTCCTGAACCCGGCGACCTAAACTCACGCCAGGAGCGTGTGCCCAAGATTCCAAGAGGAGAATGGAGGAGAAAGGATTGCTGCATGGCCAACTCCCCCGAGGGGTGAGTTCTTGCTTTCTATCTCTCTGTCTGTCTCTGGTGTCTTTCTGGTGACTGCACGTACCCTATAGCAAAAACTTCTCAAAACAAACAAACAAAACCCTCATTGATTGCATGTTAAAGTGGTATGTTAAATTGTTAAGCAAGTTTTTGGGGCTGGCAGGTGGCATGGTGGTTAAGGCTCTGGATCTCCCACATGGTTGATCACCATTTGAGTCCCGAACCTGGAGAAGTGCTTTCTCAGTTTCCTTGTTCTCCTTCTCTCTCTGTCTGCTTCTGTCTGGTGAATGCATGTGTACTATAGCAAAGAAAATAATAGTTAACAGTAAATAAAATGAATAATAATTTTTAAAAATTACCATCATGATTTATTTATTTATTTATTTTTTGAGAGGTTTTTTGCTATAGGGCGTGTGTGCTCGCCAGAAAGACAGAGAGAGGCAGAGAGACAGAAAGCGAGAAATCACCCCCCAGGGGGGATGGCCACGCCGCAATCCCTTCTCCTCCATTCTCCTCTCGGGATCTTGGGCACGCACGCTCACGCGCCCGGTATGAGTTTAAGCCACCGGGTCTGGGACTCGAGAAAGTACCTCCCTCATGGGGAGGGAGTGCCTTAACCACTCACTTTCTTTCTCACTCTCCCTTTCTGTCTCTCTGGTAAAATATTGAAGAATAATGATAGTAAGTAAAATGAAAAATGGGGAACCAGCAATTGGTGTAACGGCTATGTTGCTGGACTCCCATGTAGTCGACCGCGGATCAGTCCTAGACCCGGTGGCTTAAACTCACACAGGAAGAGTGTGTGTGTGCATGCCCAAGATCCCGAGAGGAAAAGGGAGGACAAGGGATTGTAGAGTAGCCATTCCCCCAAGGGGTGTGATTTTTTTGCTTTCTGTCTCTCTGTCTCTCTTTCTGGCGAGCGCACACGCCCTATAGCAAAAACTCTCAAAAAGAAAAAAAAAATTCTTTAAAAATAAATAATAAATAATTACTATTTTTTAAAAAGGAAGAAATAAATGTAATACAAGCCCAGCCACATTTAAAATTGTCTAAAAGAAGGGCCAGCCTCAGAGCACAATGATTAAGCCCTGTACACAGGGAACTGGGTCCCACATGAGTGACCATGGTTCTAATCCCAAGCCCCGCCACTCAAAAAACATGCTAGGCACATGTGCATGAATGTCTTCAACCCTTAGAGGATGGAGAGACGGAGAAAAATATTTGCAGTATAACCGTACCCCATTCATGAGTGTTCTGTTTTGTTTCTCTCTCTCTGGCAAGCCCAGGCATACTCTGGCAATTACAAACTGTTAGGTCATTGGAAAAGTCATGACATGTTTTTCTATGCAAAAATGCATCATGACTTCTCTGACAACCAAAGAGTTAGGTTTTCTTACTTTGAAACATTTATCTATTTGTGAGTTTTAAAAATATTTATTTATTAAATTTTATTTATTCATTTATTTTAATTTGACCAGAGAGCACCAGAGAGAGAGAGAAAGTGAGAAATCAAGCCACAAGGTCCAGGACTCAAACCACGATCGGCCATGTGGGAGTGTCCAGTGCCTTAACCACCACGCCACCTGCTGGTCCCTTATTTGTGATTTTTAAGCCACCGGGTCTGGGACTTGAACTGCAATGATCCATGTGAGAATCTAGTGCCTTAACCACAATGCCACCTGTCTCCCCCCCCCATAGTTTCAAAATGCATATAATTCAGGATCAGTCAATGGCTTTGGTGGTTAAGGTGGCTATATCGCACTTGGCCAACTGCGGTTCTAGCGGCAGACCCATCAGGTGAAAAATACCACTGGGCGTGTGTGCCTGCATGCCAAAAATAGCGAAAGGAAGGAAAAATGGAGAAAGGATTATGACAGGAGCGAGAAATCACCCCCCAGGGGGGCTGGTCACGCCGCAGTCCCTTTTCCTCCATTCTCCTCTCGGGATCTTGGGCATGCACGCACACGCGCCCAGCGTGAGTTTTAAGCCACCGGGTCCGGGACGCGAACCGCTGGTTCCCTTGTTTATTTTTGATGGGTTCTTGTCATTGGCAGCCTTTACCCCAGCTTCCTTGTTACGAGTACAGGCGTGTGCTGTTGTGCCTGGCCAGTTCAGGCTGGTCTGAAAACCGAACCTGAATCTTCTTTGTGGCCCCAGCCTCACGTAGTGGCTCCCTGTTTCCGTATACTGCAGTCACTGGGCTGTGTTGGACAGGCCTGGCCTAGAAATTAAGATTCATCTGAGCTCAGTTTTCAGCAGTACTTTGTAAAGTTGAACAGGATGTATTTCTGTGAAAGATACATATGTTGTAAGACTTTATAGTGAATTAGCTTCCACCTGAAGCAGTAATTGTCATATTTTCTCTTCTTCAGAGGGGTTTTGCAGTCACTCATTGAAAAGCACTTCCCTGCTCCAGACAGGAAAAAACTTTATAGTTTGCTAGGCATCGATTTGACAGCTCCAAGTAACAACAGTTCACCACGAGATAGTCCTTGTAAAGAAAATAAAATAAAGAAGCGGAAAGGTGAGTGCCTTTCTTTACATAGCCTAGCTGATGTTGTAAATATAACAAGTTAGAACATTCTGATGATGCAGCAGCATTTTTTGAATCCTGTCTTCCCTGTATAGGCAAGTGGCCCAATGTTTTCACTGGGTTCGTGTGATTTGGAACGCACAGGTAAACTAGAATGGGAACAGTTGGTTGGTATGTTTAGGGCTTGGCGGTACATTATAAGCATGTCTTGAACGTAGTGTAAATTTGGGCCCAATTTGATCACAACAAAGAGTCATGTGAATGCTTGGTTTCCCAGTGGATTAAAAGTTACATATACACGTTGGGACCAGCAGATGGCGTAATGGCAACATCGCTGGACTTCTGTGTAGTCACCTACTGTTCGAGTCCTGGACCCAGTGGCTTAAACTCACACTGGCGAGAAGGGATTGTGGCATGACCATCCCCCTTGGGGGGGTGATTTCTAACTTTCTGTCTCTCTGTCTCTTTCTGGCAAGTGCATGCGTCCTATAGAAAAAACCTCTTCCCCCAAAAAACAATTATGTATACACTATATCGTAGTATGTTAAGCGTACACTAGCATTGTGTCTAAGAGCACTGACGTACCTTAATTAAAAATACCATCACCCGAGCCTTCGGTGAGTCGCACTCTTGCTGGTGGAAGGCGTTGCCTTGATGCTGATGGCTACAGGATACTGGTTGCTGCCGGTTGGATTATTTATTTTTTTTAAAGAGAGATTTTTGTTTCATGGCGCATGCCCTCACCAGAGAGACAGACAGACAGAAAGCGAGAAATCACCACCCGGAAGGATGGCCATGCTACACTTCCTTCACCATTCTCTTCTCGGATCTTGGGCACGCACGCACGCACATGAGTTTCAAGCCTCTAGTTCAGGACTTGGACTGCTATAAGCCATGTAGGAGTCCAGTGACCTAACCATTATGCCATCTGCTGGTCCCAAGGTTGGGTATTTCTTAAACTAAGACAAAGAAGTTTGCATTGTTTAGCGCTTTTATGGAAGATTTGTTTGTAGGTTGGCATGTCTTGATGTTCGATAGCATTTTAGCCACAGCAGAATTTAGAGTCAGTTTTTTTTTTTTTTTTTGGAGAGGTTTTTCGCCACAGGGCGCGCGTGCTCGCCAGAGACATAGAGACAGAAAGCGAGAAATCACCCCCCAGGGGGGATGGTCACGCCGCAATCCCTTCTCCTCCATTCTCTTCTCGGGATCTTGGGCACGCATGCACATGTGCCCAGCGTGAGTTTTAAGCCACTGGGTCCGGGACGCAAACAGCGGTCGACTACGTGGGAGTCCAGCAACATAGCCATTACGCTAACTGCTGGTCCCAGAGTCAGTTTTCTTAAACCCTATTATGCTCTATGAACTAAGCTTAAAAAATATCTTAAATCCTTCATTGTTACTTCCAAAATGTTCACAGCATCTTTACCAGGAGTAGATTCCATCTGTTTTGTTTTTTTTAAAATATATTTTAATTTTCTATTTTTTTAAAGTTATATTTTCTGTTGTTGTTATTTTTACATTTGTCATAGGGCACGGTGTGTATGCTCACAAAAGAAAGAGAGAAAGTGAGAAGGCAAGCTGCCAGGTGTGGGACTTGAACTGCCATCAACTGTGTGGGAGTCCTGTGCCTTACCATGCCACCTGCTGGCCCCAGTAGATTTCATCTTAAGAAAAACATTTTCTTTTTAAAAAATTGTTCATTAAATCTTACTTCTTATTTTTTAATTTGATAGGAGAGACAGAGAGGGAAAGTGAGAAAGTAAGCCGCCAAGTCCAGGATTCAAACTGTGGTCAGCCATGTGGGAGTCTAGCACCTTAACCACCATGCCACCTGCTGGCCCTTTTTTTGAGAGGTTTTTGCTATTAGAGTGCATGCACTGGCCAGAGAGAGAGACAGACAGACAGAAAGAGAGAAATCGCCCTCCCTGGGGGATGGCTGCGTCTTAATCCCTTCTCCTCCATTTTCTCTCAGGATCTTGGGCATGCACGCACACGCGCCTAGTGTGAGTTTAAGCCACCAGGTCTGGGACTTAAGCTGCGGTCAACTACATAGGAATCCCGCGACATAGCCATTATGCCAACTGCTGGTCCTTTTTTTTTATTTTAAGAGAGATTTTTGCTATAGGGTGTGTGTGCTTACTAGAGAAACAGAGATAGAGATAGAAAGTGAGAAATCACCTACAGAGAGGATGGCCACGCCACAGTCCCCTTCTCCTTTTTCTTCTTGGTATCTTGAGCACACATACACATAGGCCTCGTGTGAGATCAAGTTGCCAACTCCGGGACTCAAACCCCAGTTGACTATATGGGAGTCTAGCAACATAACTTTTACATTTTCTGCTGGTTCCAAGAATCCTTTTTTTTTTTTTTTTGCTTATTCTTAAGAAGTAACTCCTCGGGACCAGTTAGCGTAATGGCTATGTTGCTGGACTCCCATGTAGTCAACCATGGTTCGTGTCCCAGACCTGGTGGCTTAAAACTCACGCCAGGCGCGTGTGTGTGCGTGCCCAAGATACCGAGAGGAGAACAGAGGAGAAGGAATTGCGGCGTGGCCATCCCCCCTGGGGGGTGATTTCTGGTTTTCTGTCTCTCTGTCTGTCTCTGTCTGTCTGGCGAGCGCACACGCCTTATAGAGAAAACCTCTCAAAAAATAAAAAAAAAAAAGTAAGTCCTCATCCCTTGAATTTTATCATTACATTGTTGCAATTTGGTTGTATCTTTAGGCTGTACTCTTTAATCTTTTCAATATAAGGACGCAGTATTTGGCAGTGAGAAGGAAAGAGAAAAAGACCCTTGCCCAGGTGTTGGGGGCTGGGGAATGGCCACACAGCAATCCCTTCTCCTCCATTTTCCTCCTGAACATGGTTTTGTGTGAGTTTCAAGCCATCAGGTTCAGGGCTCCAACCACAGTCAGCCACGTGGGAGTCTTACTGCGCCACCTGCTGGTTCCTGGTGTAGTGTTTTTAATTTCCTTCAAGAACATTGTCTTTGGGGAACCAGCAGTTAGCGTAATGGCTATGTCACTGGACTCCCACGTAGTCGACTGCGGTTCGCATCCCGGACCCGGTGGCTTAAAACTCACGCCGGGTGCGTGTGTATGCGTGCCCAAGATCCTGAGAGGAGAATGGAGGAGAAGGGATTGCGGCGTGACCATCCCCCCTGGGGGGTGATTTCTCGCTTTCTAGCTCTATGTCTCTCTTTGTCTATCTGGCGAGCGCACGCGCCCTATAGCGAAAACCTCTCCAAGAAAAAAAAAAAGAACATTGTCTTTGTGATTTGTTAGGTACCAGAGGCCTAGCTTTTGGCCCGGCTCAGGTTTCACCCTCCGTTCCTCACTGAGCTTTCTCATTTCTAGCTTTTGGTTTAAACTGAAAGATGTACATCTCTTCTTTTCACTTGAACATTTAGAGGCTCTTGTTGGTTGTTGTTTGGCCTAATTTTAATATTGCTGTGTTTTGGCCAACGGAAGCTTGAGGAGAGGGAGAGGGAAGTAGATTGGCAGGAGAGCAGTCAGCACATACAGCATGGACCAAGTTTGGACTCCCCTCCGACCACATGGTCACAGCTGCTTTGGGAGACTGAGGTGGGAGCATCGTGAGTTGGAGGCCAACGTGGGCTGCATAGCCAGACCTGTCTAACAGGAGAATTGAAAAAAAATAAGGTCACTGAAAACAGAGTACCAAAACAGACATTAAACGATGAAAAAGTTAAAAATATTGCAGAAGTGGGTAAAATGAGACGGATGTGATATGAGCACGTGCTCTTGGCAAAATGGTACTGCTGGAGCATAGGGCTGACGCAGACCTGTAGTTTATGAAGCCTGCCCTGCCTGCGCGAGGCAGCACGGCGAGCATACCTCTGCACTGCTGTTTGTAAAGTAGTATGTCTCTACTTAACGTTATTAATTAATTAATTAATTAATTAATTTTAATTTAACCAGAGGGAGGCAGAGTGAGGATATAGGGACAAAGTGATTGAGTGAGAGAGAGAGAGAGAGATGAAAAGTGAGAAAGCAAGCCGCCAGGTCTGGGACTCGAACCGCAGTCGGCCATGTGGGAGTCCAGTGCCCTTAACCACACCACCTGCCATCCCCCCTCTGAATTACTTATTCCACCAGAGATAATAATAGTGGGTCTTAGTTTCCCAGTGTTACAGGCAGAAAACTAGTGCACAGAAAATTAAAAGGCTGAGGAATTTCCCCAGGCTCACAAGCTAGCTAATGTGTGGGAAATAGAGTCTGTCTTTCCATCTTCAAAGCTGCCTTTTAATAAACAGTGGACTGGGTGTTTTAATAGTCGTCTTTAGAAAGGCTTCTGTCATTTAATTAGGAATAGATTCGTCCGTGTTAGACAATTCCTAATAGCACCTGCCTAGGTTTTTGTTTCGGTGCTTTCTGAGCTGTTTAACTTTCAGAAGTTAACCGCTTAGCCTCTCTGTCCCTAAAATGGTAATACTAGGGACTCTCCACGTTGACTGTGATCTGTGTATTCTGAACATCGTGCCTGACACTTCAGCCTTATTCTGTCCCCGACAGGGTTTTTTTACTGTCCTTCAAAATGAATTGGCTGTGGGACCAGCAGTTAGCGTAATGGCTATGTCGCTGGACTCCCACATAGTCTACCGCGGTTCGCATCCCGGACCTGGTGGCTTAAAAATCATGCCTGACGCGTGTGTGTGCGTGCCCAAGATCCCGAGAGGAGAATGGAGGAGAAGGGATTGCGGCATGGCCATCCCCCCTGAGGGGTGCTTTCTCGCTTTCTGTCTCTCTGTCTCTCTCTGGCGAGCGCACGCGCCCTATTGCAAAAACGTCTCCAAAAAGAAAAAAAAAAGAATTGGCTGCTAATTTAATTGGTAATTTTTTTGTTCTTATTTTAGTGACATAAAAAAAATAATGTTGATTTTACAACCAGTGGGCTCTGAGGGTAGCCAAGTGGCCGTGTTTCTCTTGATTTATCTTGTCGCTAGCTCGTTCGTATGTGAACTTTTTTTTTAATAGAGATTTTTGCTATAGAGCGTGTGCACTCACCAGAGAGACAGAGATAGATAGAAATCACACAAACCCCCGGGAAGATGGCCACACTACTCTTTTTGCTATAGAGCGTGTGCACTCACCAGAGAGACAGAGATAGATAGAAATCACACAAACCCCCGGGAAGATGGCCACACTACTCCCCCTTCTCCTCCATTCTCCACTTGGGATCTTGGGGACACACGCACACTTGCCCAGAGTGAATTTAAGCCACCGGGTCTGGTACTCTAACTGCAGTCGACTACATGGGAGTCGAGGGACATAGCGATTATGCCAAGTGCTGGTCTCGATGACTTAAAGTTTTAAACCAACTTCACAACTTCTTAAATTATTCCTTCATTGATTGGCATGTATAAATTTATATATTTTTTCAACCTGTAGTTTTGCTAACTTTAGAGAAAAAACTTGTATTATAGGCTTGAGGCTCCGGGTGGGCCATGGTGCGGGTACCCTGCAGGGTCACTATCTGTCCCTGGTCTCTTTTCTCCCTCTTGCTCATGGAAAAAATAAACATATTTTTAAATGAGATTTTATAAATTGATTGATTGTAAATATTTCATGTTTATGAACCTGCATTTATGAAAATTGTTTTTGAACCTTCATAAACAGTTAAGTTGTGACTATGTCAGTGATTCTGCTTTAATTTTATTGGCCTGGATTTGTTTTGATTCTTGTGCATTGAAAGGCATTCTGGAGTTGTACTTGTGAATTTAGTTTGTCCTCATATACTTGCATGAATATTTCTCTTCTGCACTTCTCATGAATTCATTCATTTATTAAGTCTGGTGTCCTAGAAACATGGTATTTCAGCCTGACTCTCTTGTTTGCATTTTGAGGTTAGGTGAAGAAATAACCCGAGAAGCCAAAAAAGCACGAAAAGTGGGTGGCCTTACTGGTAGCAGCTCTGACGACAGCGGCAGTGAGTCTGATGCCTCTGATAATGAAGAGAGTGACTACGAGAGCTCTAAAAACATGAGCTCTGGAGATGATGACGATTTTAACCCGTTTCGAGATGAATCCAGTGAGGACGATGAAGACGGTACGTTTATCAGTGTTAAACGTAGACTGAAGCTGACGCTGCTCTGCTTGTCAGCTTGAGGAGGTTTTGTCGTGTTTGAGGAGGGTGTGTCGTGGTTGAGCTTCCTCGTGTGCAGTACAGGTGATCACCCCGTCCTGATCTGTGTGGTGGAGAGCGCCACGCTTGTTCATCTCGGTCAAAGACCCCACCTTGGGACACAGCACCTTTACAACACAGTCAAGCCCCAACATGTGAACTCTTGGGAAACATTCGGCCCCTGCTCACCAAGAACAAA